TGATCAAAAACATTTGTAAAGGAAAGAGAGAAAAAAATCATTTAAACAGCGCAGGTGGTTCCTCTACTTTAATGACACTTTGCAGCTAATTCAGTGTAGAGTGGAAGGTGAGAATCTGGGGGGACATGCCCTCAATGAACATCCCACCTGTTGAATCAGCATCACTCTCTTTCATCTCCAGACACTTTATTTCCAAGGAACACGCTTTATAAATGAGAGCCAGCTATTTTGCATGTACACAAAACCATTTGTGGGCAGTTTAATAGACTTTCATGGGCACTTTTGCAGTTTCTCTCCAGAGGCATTTATCTTTATAACCTGACCCCTGTGTACAAATGAAAACAAAAGCCAATATTACAGAAAAAAGATAAGGCACCAAAATATATTCAGTGGCTGAATATGAAGAAGTGTGGTGGTTTTTTCTGTTCCCTTCTTTATTCATTGACACCTACTTATTGAGCATCTGCTGTGTACCATCCGACTATTCTATGCACTGAAGAAAGAGCAATGAATTAAAAGTTGCAAGCCTTCCTGGGGGGGTGGAGACAGACAATAAACACCTAAATAAATAAAATGTAGAGCAGGTTGGTGACTGTCACATGCTTGGGAGAACCAAGTAAAGCCAGGCAAGGGGACAGAGTGCCAGATTTTGGGGTGGGGGTTGCAAGTTCAGGAAGGGTAATGGGAGGCCTCATTGAGAAGGGGACAGCTGAGCAAAACTGGAAGGAGAGGAAGGAGTGAGAATATATAGGTGAAGAAGTTTCCAGAAGGAAGGAAGGCTGTGTAAAAATTAACAAGGTGGCCAGTGGGGCTGGGGCAGAGAGCAAGGGAGCAGAGGTTTGCCACACTTTCTGTATTCTCCAATGAGAGAATATGATTTGTGTAATAGAAACAAAAGCCATTTCTTATCTTGAATGGAAGAGGAAAGGAGAGGGAGAGAGGTAGAGAGGAAGGAAGGAGGTCTCAGTCTCACAACCACATGACAGCTGACTTCCTGGGAGACCTGAACCTTCCTTCAAGCCTGCTCTACCCCGGGTCATCAGCGTAGAGATGCCACTCTCCAAGGCTTCTGTGCAGGGTGGCCTGAGGCCGCAGGATTGTGGCCCACACCCCCTCCTTCCCTCAATGCCCCTCCACCACCTGCCCCCTGGGGGAACAGAGAGAAATGTGGGCAAACCACACTGCCCATCCCCCACCCCTACCTCCGCCTCCCAGGGGCCCCTGGGGTTGATGCCAGCCCTGGGAAGGAGTCACCAATAAAGATCTGAGGTGCTAATAAGGAGCTGTCAATCCATTAACTTCAGCAGAAGGGAAGGAAAGAAATTTCAATTACTGGTACCTAGAAACAAAATAGTGGGAAATAGCAAATGACACTCTTTTTAAGACAGCCCTGGGGCCACTTCCAGCTGACCCCGTGCATTAACCTGGCGGGGAAATTATTTACTCCGCTGCTCCCTCCTGTGTCCTTAATAGCATAAAATAAAAAGATTTTAGATAAGATTTCATTCTGTGAATCAATTGGCAGACCACAGTAGGCTCCATGGGGCATTCTAGCCTCAGTCTAATGGAAATTATTATTTTTTTTAAAGAGACTATCAATACTAAATTGGATCTTATAGCAGAAAGCATATACAAAGTATTTTATTTCAACTGGAAATCTCGGGCTTCTTCTGAGTTTTGCTTAACTCAGTACCTGCCAGCGTCTCTCCATCAAAGGAGAGGGAAATTTGGTAGGAGAACAAATCTGAAGTCTTTGCCGTGACAGCACAGCCAGAAAGTTCTGGCCCCTCACTCCTTTCCCACATTGGCCTTTGTTCTGGGCCTCCAACACCCCTGGACCTTTGCCTGTGAAGTTACCTTGGCCTGAAATGCTTCCTGCCTATCGCCCTCCGCTGGCTTGGTCTTCAGTCTCCAGCTTCAAAAATTTTCTACTTCAAATATCACTTGCTCAAAGGAAGCTGGGCTTAACCACATCCTCTTCTGTAATTTACTTCCTCGGCTCTTTGACGACACGTCACAACCATAATTACATAAATATTTGTTTAATGTTTTTGCTGTTTCTGCAAGTAGACAGGGGGGCATACATGTATTTGTTAACTTCAACCTCTACTTTGTCGGGGGTCGGTTGTTCGAGTCAGGAATGTATTTCCCACGGGTGACCACCTATCAAACCAGCGGAGAGACCGCACCCCCCAGGCAGTGACTTCAGTAGCTCCGCTAGCTTTAGGTTTCGTCAGCACCAGAGGCTTTGCTAATTGGCGTTATGAACGTTAAACTTCAGTGGCCACTGGTGAAAGTCATGGCTAATGATCAGCAAAGCGGATGTTCGGAACATGTTCTCTTCATTGATTTTGGTGCTATTCAAGATAAGTGGACTGGAGAAAATAGTTTAGAGCAGCTCTCTGCCCTTGCATGAGCGGGGTTTAATAACCGAGGACTGTGCTATCTAATACTGTAGCCACAAGCCACATTGTGGCTATTTTAATTTCAATGTGAATTAACCAAAATTAAAATAAAACGGATAATTCAGTTCCTCAGCCACACTCGCTGAATTTCAAGTGCTCTGTGACCGCGGGTGGCTGGATGCTAGTGTATTGGACAGCACAGGATAGAATATTCCACCACTGCAACGGTCTACTGGACAGAGCTGGTCCACGGGTTGGCACCCTTCAGCGTTAGGCACCCTGACCCCTGTGGATGTTACACAAATCCTGCTGCAGGGATATTTTGCCTTCGCCCCAGTGAGCATTTTCTGCAAAGCATTTTCTGGGCCTCAAAAAGGACAGGGATCTGGAAGGCCATTGAGCTTCCAGACAGACTTGTATGGCTGTTTTCTGCTGCCAGTTTAATAAAGGTCTATTTGTATAAGCTGGATGTGGCCTGAGACTTGCTTTCATCAAAACCCAATGCCAACTGCCAGCTGATCCATTTATTCAATAAGGATTTATTGAATACCTCCTATGCGTCAGACACCTTTCTGGGTGCTGGGGACACAGTAGTGCACAGTGTGGGTGGGTAGGTCCTTGCTCTCATGCAGATTATATTTTTGGTGCAGTGGGGGTGGGACAGACACCAAGGAAAACAAACAAATGCATATGACCTTGTCAGCTGGCAGTAAGCATTGTGAAGACAATTAGGTGGCATGATTTGATGGAGAGTGACTTGGCAGGGCAGGGGTGGAGGGAGATAGCAAAACCACTGTCCTTGAGGCTGGAATTCCTCCATTTGAAGGATCTCTACTGTTCCCGGGACTCCAAGACTCCCCGATGTCTACACTGTAAGGTAAGTGGAAGTTCCTTTACCCTGGCTCTGCCACTGACTTGCTGTGTAACTTAGCAAGATCATTGGCCCACCTTGGGTCTCCCTGTTTCTCCATCTGTAAACTGAAGGCAGTAGGCCTACTGATTTTAGGCCTGTGAGCTGTGACCATTAAATGGGTCATGCAATCTAGTTGGTGGGTTATGACCATCACTTGAAAAGATAAAATAGAGAAAATAGGAAATAGCGAAGTACATTAAATGGAGTATAACATAGTTTCCTGTAACTTGTGTGTGTGTGTGTGTGTGTGTGTGTACACACTCATGCATGTACTGGGTCACCATGTAAATTGCAGTTCTTTGGGCTGCTGTCAAAAGAATTGGAAAGCTCTGTACTCCATCACCTCTCTGGGACTTCCCGTTCTAGCACACTACAAATACAGCATTCTTAACCCATGGGACCAGACAATTTAACAACATGCTCACAAGCAGAGTGGAAATTGAATTGGGAGTATGTTCTGAGCAGACATCGCCTACATTTTTATTACTCCCAATATGCAAAAATCACATTAAGGCTATATTTAAAAACCTGTAATATTGCATGGAGGGTTGGTATTTCCTGGGGATCTGTTCCTACGCTTCCGTCCACCAAGGTCTGAAACTCTGAAATCACTCTCTTGGGGAGGCAACCTTTCATTCCCATTGTCTCCAGCATTTTTGGTGACACTAAAAAATTATTGGTAATTTTTTGAAGTCATGGTAACTGTATTGAGGTTAAAAATTCCTTGTTTTGGTGACATTTACAAATTGTTTACAGATGAAATGATATGATGTCTGGGGCTTGCTTGGAAATCATCCAGTGGGGTGCGGTGGGTGGGTGGGAATCAGTGAAGCCAGGTGGGCCAGGAGCTGGGGCTGAGAGGTGGGTATGCGGAGTTTAGCATACTGTTCTCTCTACCTCTGTTTGGGTTTAGAATAAAACAACTACAGAGAAATGAAAGTCCTGCTCTGGTTTCACACAGCACTGAGTGAAGTTGCAATACTTTCACTGGCTGACATAACCCTGAGGGTGAGCCAACATCATCCCTTTTCTTGTGGTCCTGACACTTCTCCTTCTACTCATTGGCCTCCAGCCATACTGGCTTTCTTGTTCTACAACCATTCTAAGGCCTCCCACCTCAGGGCCTTTGCACGTGCATCCCCACAACACCCCACTTGTTCTCTGGCTCACTCCTTCCACAAATCCAGGCCTCTGCTCAAACATCACCAGCTCAGTGACACCTTCCCCAGTTGCCCTATTTAAAATTCTAAACCTCTACTTAACACCCCCATCCTGTTCCTGTTTAGTTTCTCCACAGCACACAGCACCTTATACACTCTATAATCCACCAGTTATTTGTTCATTGCTCCACTAGAATGTCAGCTCCATGAGGGCAGGAGTTTCTTTTTATTTCCTGCTACATCCTCAGCAACCAGAAAAGTGACCACCACATAGTAGGTGCTTAAAAAATTCTGTTGATTGAATGAATACAGGCACAGATACAGATATTGACAGACATTTAGCATAAGGAAATACTCCCAAAGGCTTTCTGAGGGTCTCAGGATGGTGGGACCATGGGGAGCCACTATTCCCTTCTTTGTGCTGATGTATTTTATAAATGTTCTTGCACTGACTAGTAGTTACTTTTGAAATCTAAAAGAGCAAACAGTGATTTTTTAAGGTGAAATGCCAAGGATTCCTAATTTTATTAGAACAAAATTGAGTCTTTATTCTCATTTTTTTGGCACCATTGCTTTTTTTTGCACTGAGGAAGCAGAAAAGTAGAATGCCCTCCTTGGGCACAGGCTGGCGAGCCGCAGACTCCGGGGGGCAGGGGCAGCCCAGGTGGCAGGTGGGAGTGTCCTCCTTCCTTCTCTCCTTTCTCTGTGTTTGGCATCGCCATCTGCCCAGCGGTACAGAGAAGAAATACAGAAGGCACCCTTCACTGTCCCTCACTCCCCACGTCCCATCCCTCACCCACCCCTAGGGACCTTTCTCCAACTAGATCCTGAATTTGATTACATTTCTCTGTCCACTCCCAGACCTGGCCTGAGCTGTGGTCATCTCTTAGCGACTGCATCATCCCCGCCATCCAGTCGGGTCCCCAGCTGGCAGCAACCCAGCCCCAAGACAAAATGTAAGAAGCATCTCACTGCTGTGCATAACCCCCCAGAGACACCCCACTGCTCCTAAAATGAAGACTGAAGTCCCTCTGCCATGACCACAGGACTCACTTCTCTGCTGCCCATTCTCTTCTCTTCACCAGGTGCCCCCTTCCCAATCTAGTCTTCAAATGTGCCAGGCGTGTTCCCCCTGGAAGTACTTTCTGGCAGCTCCTACTTTGCTAGACTGACTCCTTGTCATCACCCAGGTCCCAGTTTGAATGTCCCCTCCTCTGAGATGCTGTTCCCCCGACCAACACCCCCACGAGCAACTCAATACATAGGAGGAACAACCCTGGCTGTTTCCCCCTGTGACCGTCCTCCAGATCTGAAATAACCCTGGGTGTCACGTGTCTCCCCAGACCGTGGTCTCCTTGCTTGTTACATTCCCCACACCATGCATGGCACAGCTTGGCACCCGGCAGAAGTTCTCAACACGTTTGCTGTTTGATTGAACACACCCACTCCACTGCCATCACTCAGTGACTAAGGATGATACGAAGAGCTTGTTAGACAACGGAAAGGTCTTCTGATATAACAATATGTGAAAATCCAGGCTACAAAATCATATGTCTGGGGCGATTACACCTGTGTCGGAAAACTAACAAAATAAAACACATAAACGACTTTGCCTGGGGAAAAACTAGGAAGAAAGTACTTACTATTCAAACTTTTAGCTTTCCCTGGAGGTGGGGATATGGGAAATTTATATTTCTTTGTTCTGGGTTTTGTGTTTTCTGCATTTTCTTTAAGGCACACCTATCTCCTTTGCAACGAAAAAGTTGTAATAAATGGAAAAGCAGCAGAGGAACTCTTGCGCCTTCTGCTGTTCATTGTCTGGTACTGCACGGAAACGTTCAGGATCAGCTTGAAGTGGGGCATTTGGGGTTGACCGGGAAGAGGTCCCAGCAAAGTTCGGAAACAGGTTTCCCCCGTATTTGAAGTGGGTGACAACAGGGATAATTACAGACTCCCCTGCCCCTGGAAATCCTTCAGTCTTCCCAATCCTATGATGAGAAGGCCCCCAGAACTCTCCTCCCACTCGCTGCCATGAACTGTAACTACAGGAGGAACAGGCGGACAGCAGAGTCAGGCTTTCTGGGCTGAAATTCCAGTCCTGACCTTTTATACCTGTGTATCCCTGGACATGTTATTTAACTGCTCTGGACGTCAGTCTCCTTATCCATATAACAGGAGAGTGGTAGGTAAATCTGGGTTCTCAGTCTCAGCACTACTGACATTCCGGGCCAGACGAATCTGTTGGGGGGCCTTCCTGTGCACTGTAGGAAGTTTGGCAGCACCTCCAGCCTCCACCTACTAGATGCTAGCAGCAGCCCCCTTCCTCAGTCAAGACAGCCCAGAGGGTCTCCAGATACTGCCACCTGCGCCCTGGAGGGCACAATTGCTCCTGGTTGAGAACCACCCCACTTTTGGTTTCTATTATTGCATCCCACGCCTCACGACAGTGTTCTGCTGTTAGAAGGTACTCAGAAAATGCCAACATGAATTCCTGAAGAATAATTTAGAGATTATTGGAAGGAAACCTGAGATTCCCTCCTCCCTGCCTGGGTTTCCAGCCCAGCCCGCTGCTGCCCACGTGCAAGGTCAGCTCACAATCTGGGTTCCCCCGCACATGACCCCCTGCCCTGCCTGAGCAGGCCCCAGGCTGCAGAGGTGGGATGGGCCTCCCAGGCCCCCTTCACGCCGGGCCTGTTGTCCTTGGCGCGGTCTGTGGGCCTGTACAGCGAGGAGAACGTATTCACTTAACCTAGAAAAACAAGAGCAGAAAGGGTCAGAGCCATTGTGTGAAAGCAAAGGTGGTGAAAAGATGCTGACGAACAGACCTTGGTGGGGGTGAGTAAAGGAGGCCAAACAACTTGGCTATACTGGGAGAAACCTCAGAGGTGTGGGGACACTGATACTCCCCTCAAAGGCCAGCTAGCAAAACAGATTTGCTCCATTTCTTGGCCTGTGGGCCTCCGTTTCTCAAGTGTGCAGGCAAAGCAAATACAGTGGGATCCGAATCTCCCTGGGTTCCTCCTCAGCTGGAGCAGAGGGAGCCACAAGATTGGCTCAGGAGGCACTGGTAGGCTTGGGGGTTCTGCAAGGGGTTGGAGGCATCCTTACCTCCTCAGCTTTTTGGGAGAGATCTTTCTCTCAAAAACTAGAGCTCAGGGAGCCAGAGATCAGAATAAAGGAGGCAGGTGGCTTTGGGGACCCTGTCCTGTGGAACTAGTGATGCTGCCCCTGTGGAGGTGGCCTCTGATGCCAGGTCCTGAGTGCACATTAAGGGCCAGGCACTGTGCCAACCACTTTACAAACTTTATCCCCTGGGTCCTTACAACCACCTGGTGGGTTAGCCCCCAGTAATCTATTTATTCAATTTAGCAAATATTTGTGGAGTACTTACTATGTGCATATTCACTGAGCACCTACTGTGTGCCAGGTTCTATGCTTGGCGGTAGATACACTATGATGAGAAGAGAACAGAGGCAGGGGTGGGGAGCAGCTGTTAGTCTCCTGTATTACCAGTGGGAATGCAAAATGGGCAGTCGCTCTGGACAACAGGCCGGCAGTCTCGTATTAAGTTAAAAACACACGCTTACTATAGGATCCAGCAATCCCACTCCTGGGCATGTAACCTAGAGAAATAAGAATCTATGTTCATGCGAAACCTGTATGTGAAAGTTTAGCGCAGTTTATTCATAATCGCCCCAAACTGGAAACAACCCAGATGTCCCTCACCTGGAGGATGGATAAACAATGAGATGTCCAGCCACGGACTGAAACTCGGCAATAAAAAGGAATAAACTATTGACAGAAGCAGCAGCATGGATGAATCTGAAAAGCTTTATGTGGAGCAAAAGAAGCCAATCTCACAAGACTATGTACTATACGATTCATTTCTATGACATTCTAGAAAAGGCAAAATTTCAGGGGCAGAGAACAGATCAGTGTTTCCTAGTGGGTGGGGTGGCAGGAGGGGTTGGCAAAGGCACAGATTTTTTTGAGGTGATGGAACTGTTCTGTGTCTTGATTGTGGTGGTAGTCACAGAACTCTAGGCATGTATCAAAAATTGTGGGACTGTACCACAAAAAGAGTGAATTTTACTGCATGTAGATTTTAAATAAAAAAAAATAGATATGGACCCTATGGAGGGAGGGAGGGAGCCCCCTGAATAACAGGAAGACTGTTTCAGGTGGAAGGTGAGAGCTTGCGTGGTGTGTCCGAGGAACAGCGGGGAGGTCAGTGTGGCTGGAGCAGAGTGTAGTGCAGACCAGCTGAGGTCAGAAGGTACCATGGAGCCAGATCTCCAAGAGCCTTGAGACCACTATAGAATTACTCTGAGTCAGGTGGGAGCCATGGGGGTCCTGGACAGAGGAGGGACACAATGTATCTTTGTTTTACCAGGATCCCTCTGGCTGTGTGTGAAGCACAGACTGTCAGGGGTGAGGGCGGAGGCAGGCAGAGCCCAGTGAGCGGGTGACGGCCACAGTCCAGGTGGGAGCTGATGCTCTCCTGGGCTCTGGTGGTAGCAGTGGAGGTGATGAGAAGTGGTCTGACTCTGGCTGCATCTTGAAGGTGCAACCAGCAGGTTTTCAGAGAGATTGGCTATGGGTGTGAGTGAGAGCTCACAAAGACGTTGCAAGTATTTAAGGGTCAACTTCTGGAAGAGTGGAACTGTCACATACAGAGAAGGGGAAGACTGGTGGGGACACTGGTTAGAGGAGAAAGCCAGGAGATCTTTTATCATCCCCAATTTATAGATGAGAAAGCTGCGGCCCAAAGAGACTGACTCACTTGCCCAAGGTCACACAGCCAGCATGGGATGGAGATGACAGTTGAAACACATCTGCCTGGTTCCTGAGCTTTGCTCAATCTGCAGGCTCCTGCTCTAAGCTAACAGCTGAGACTAGAGCCACTCAAAATAATGTCCTATGAGCTTGCTAGAAATGCCAATCTTGGGTTCTGCCAAGGGAGCATTTCGCATATGTCTCACGTGTTCACAATAAGCCTTGTATCATCAAATGTACTGCTGGCTGCAAATGACCCATCTTTTAAAAGGAGGTTTAAACTGTAAGTTTTCTAATATATAATATAATAAGAAGTCCTGAATTTGACCATTCCAAGGTTGGTTCATCCAGCAGCTTAATTATGTCAAACATGAGGATGCGGGCCTGTGCAATTCTCTTGGTCTTTTCCTTGCGGTCACAAGTTGGCTGCTGCAGCTCCAGACATTCTGACTATGTTCAAAGTAGGACAGATGAAGAAGTTTCTCAAATGTGTCCATCTTATCACCCAGAAAAATCTTTCCCAGAAACCCCCAGGAGATATCCACTTACATTTCATTGGCCAGAACCAGGGATTATTCCCACCTATAAACCAACTGCCGTCAGAAGGGAATGATTCAGACCAACAACAATTGACCCCCTGGGACTAGGGGTGGAGCCTCTCTCCACTGAGCACATTGCCATCTGCTCTATGCTGGAACAAAGTGGGAGTTCTCTTAGCCAGAAAGAAGGGAGAGACTTCAGGATGCATCAGACTCACTGGGCCACAAAGGCATGACCTGAAGTCTCTCTAGGAGGCAGAGGCTGCTACTTACTCCTGCCTTGACAGGCCTGGCCAAGTCCCTGGGGCTGGCACAGCCTGTGCCCTGCTGCTCCTAGAATGTGATCCAGTAAGCCACCAGGCCTCCACTGGTGATGGCAGCACCTCTCAGAGCATCTGGTGCACCCTGATGGGAAAACAAGGACTTTGAAGTTAGACACACATGGTGGCAAGACCCAGCTCTGACATCCTAGTGTCTGACATTGGGCAGGTTTTGTGTCCTTGCTGAAATCTGAATTTCCTTACTTATAAAATGTGGATAATAATAGTTACTTCATGGGTGGGAAGGGTGTCAGGGAAACCAAGGTGCTTCAGAAACATTTGTTGAATTGATGAAATTCTTGATGGAAGTTATGACTAAGGAGACATTTAAGACTAGGCATGTTTCAGATTAAATGCTTAATAATTTTCCCTTCTGGGATATGATTCCTCCTCTTTCTGTATCTGTTGGGTCTCTTGGTTGCAAGTGGAAGAAAAATAATGTCAACTGGCTTAAAATAACAAAAATGAATTTATTGACTCACATATCTAAAATGTTCATGGATGGGTCCGACTTTGGACATGAGATGCTCAAATAGTGTCATCAAGATCTGTTCTCTCTCTCTCCCCTCACTGTGCTTTCTGCCTTAGGCTCATCCTCAACCAGGCCCTCCTTGCTGGCAGCATGAAAGCAGACACAGCTCTAGGCCTAAACCCTATTACCTCAGGAATCTAGCAAAAAAGAGAGAGAGACAGAGAGAGAGAGAGTCTCTCTTGTGAGTTTCATGAGATTTAAAAATCATTCCCAAGATTGGCTTAGATTTGGCCACTCCCCCATTCTTGAACCTATTACTGTAGTGAGGAAGGTAGGGGATGGGATGCCCTTGTTGGCCAGGCAGGATATGGCCTGGGTCCCCAAGGAGAATGTCTTCAAGAACTGTAGCCTTGAGGGCGAATAGAAATGAACAGTGTCCAAACAACAGATGTTCATTTCTGCTGTTGCATCCGTCACAGCAAAGTCTAGTGGACACACTGCCTTGCATGAGTGATACTGTCAGAAAAGGGCAAGAGAATTAAAAGAAATGTACCAGTTTTCCATATTGGACTTGATGCAGGCTGGAGGTGAGCTGCCAAAGCTGCAAGGCAGGGCAGGGAGGGAGAAGTAGAACCCAAATACCCAAGCAAGTACTGGAGGAATAAATTAATACAAGGGGATGTGAGAATGGGACTTCTTCTACCTCCAGGTTGCAGAAGCTCCAAAGGCCAAGAGTAACCCAAACGGCAGCAAAGCCTCTTCCTTCCATCTACATATGAATTGCAAAGGGTTAAAATTGGTTTTGAGACCCTGAGCTCAGCTCCTACCTTGAGGAGGTTGGAGAAGCTGAAAGAGAGGACTGGTTTTGGGGAGACACGGCTTTGGAAAAACTGGATGGAGTGCTGTGGCATTTCCTAGCTGCCAGCACCCCCAGCTGGGAGAGAAAGGCATTCCAAGTCTTGACCTAAAGCCAAGTCAGATAGATGTAGGGTAACTACCTGGAGAGTTTGCCGTCTCCTGGACAAACCAGTGGCAGACCCAGCCCTAGAAACGTCTACAGGTTCCGAGACTGTGCTTGCTCAGCCCCTGCAGGATGATGGATTCCTGCCAGCTGCAACAGGAGGTGGCTCTAGAGGGGGTCAAATGTGTGAGTTTCTTCCAGAGACTGGTTCTGAATAGAAACAGGTGGCCTGGGATCGCTTGAGATTTCCAGTGAGAAGACAGCCTGGAAATGTGTGGGATCCAAGTGAAGGGACCAGAACGTGGGATGCCAAGGGTCTGCAGGAAAAACTGTAGGTGCCCAGCCAGAGGAGCAGCATCACCTGCATCCGAGGAAGCTCATTCAGAGGTTCTCAGTGGTGGTAGTGGGGAGAGGGAATTGCCAAGAACCACCCCCCCACAATGCACACACATACACCCTAATAAGAGAACAAAGGGGCTACAAACATCCATTGAGCCCAGAAAGCACGATGTCATATCCTAACAGCACCAGCCAAGTGAGACCTTCACACCCCTTGTCTCTTTGGAGTCAGGCTGGGGGTTGGGGAGAAGAAGTAAGTGTTGGGGAGGGGAAAGGTGTGACGTGAATGAAGTTCAGAGTTTTGAACGGGCGACATTTTAATTACTGAATTTAGATTGTTTT